CACATTGCATATTTTGATATCATTAGTGTTCTCTTGTAACAAAGTACTTTGAAAATCAAAAGCTGGGTAGAAAATGTCATTTCTTTGTTGAAACACAATCATCTCTCTTTTGGTGAAGGGAGAACCATTTAATAAACATACTCAGGGAAAAATGATGTAGAAGAACAAACACCAGTGAAGAGCTGCAAGGAAAGCTGATTCGTCATAAAACCACACAGAAATCATCCCTGTTTGAATAGAATGAAGGAATAATTACCTTTATTTTCTGTCTCTTTTCATAGCAATGCTATGCAAGATGTGTGGATTTAAAAAATATGAAAAATTCAGTGAGTCCCACAGAGTTGCACAACTGTGTCTCATTTGTAATTCCAATGGAAGAAAATATCAGCAGAGTCTCTGGTCATGTTTCTTACATGTGGTGTGATTGACTAAAATGCAAATCATAATTAAAACTGAAAATCCCCTAAGCTTCCCATAAAGGAGGTCAGGAAATAGTTTTCACATCACACTGATATTTTATGGATATATTTTCTTTATCCTGAATAAAAAGAATAATTAAAAAAAAAGAATTCACAACTGAAAAGTTAGTTCATTGAGTGTAGTGTTTCATTTAGAGAGTTTCAAAACATTTTGATACCAGTAAGTTTAAAAAAATCTATAATGAACTTGAATTTTGAGACTGGATTAGAGCAAAATCTTTATAAATCTCTAGTACATTGTATGGCTCCAGTACTAAAAATCTGTGGGGGAAAAAAAAGACTAAATAATTCATGGAGCTGGCTATGGGCTACAATATCATATACCATGATTCTGAAAGACTGTAATGTTATTGAGTGAAATGTCTATTATCTCCTCAAATATTAGGCACAACTTCAAAAAAAAACATTCTTTCTGAGGAGGGAGGATGCCAAAATGCCATCAGCTGTTTCTTCTGCATTGGCCAAAGCAATGGAGTACTGCTTTGCTCTTTAATGTCCCAGCATATCTTCGGCACTTTACTTACTTTATAAATTCAGTGTTTTTAAGTGGCCTCTCCTGATGGATCCAAGACATCTTTCTCCCTTTTTTCCCGTGATAAAACCATACAGGTCAGTTCTGATAATCTGATGCATCAAAACTAATGTTGGCATCTTCTTAAAAAAAAAAATCACTCTTAGCAACAATCCTAAGTAGATTTTTTTTTCTGAAACTAAATGTAAATCTATATAATTCTACCTTATATGGCAGATTTTTGACATTAGGTGTCTAAATTCCATCAGCAATCCAGGTCCTTGGGGGAAAAAAAAAGTTGGTTACCTGGACTGGCAGGAAAATGGGCTTATCTTAGGTATATTTAGGGGATGAAAGAACAGATTTGAACTATGTGGGGAATGAAAGAAAAGAACAGGTTAAAGTGTCCTTTAGTAGGACATTTCATTAAGGCAGGAGCAAGTTACCTGCAGTATTGCTTCCATGACAAATCAAGTGGAATTCAGGGAATCATGCCATCAAAACACCCCAAACAGGACTTTATGGGTATGTTGCAAAACACTTTCTGAACTGAAACCTAGCAGAAAGATGATAAAAATACTATCTTCATCTGATGGCACTATTCAGTTTTCTTAGGGTGAGAGTATGCTGACTTTGAAGGAAGTCATAATCACAGAGTTTCAGTAAAGTGGGTAGTTTTATGCTTATGGAGCTTTATGCATATGAGGTTCATAATCTATGACAGAGGCTGCTGAATATACTGTTCCCAAGTGAGTGGCCAAGAATCTCTTGTGGTCTAGGTTAGACCTCTCATCACAAGACTCAAGGAGCCACCCCTTTTCCCCTGAAACTAAAATTAGGAATCTATGATTTTAAAAAAACGTGTGCTAAAGTTGTATGCGTAATGAATGTGGTTGTCTTTGCGTAGTGGATAAATCATGACCCCACCTGCAAGTCCCAGTTATTTTGCTCACAGTAGTCTGTGAAGTTACTTGTTTAACATGCATTGGATTTGGTGTATCCATCACAGATTTAGCCTTTAATAGCCTGGCACAGTTTGTATTTGTCTCAGCTGTGTTACACAGTTGGGAACTTTGATCTGATAACTTCTAGCATTTATAGATTCCTAAGGAGTAAATGTGATATGGTTTTGATATGACTGATTTCAGTTTACACAAAGCTTAACTCAGCTACGATTACTTTATCAGAAAGCTTGCTATTATTATTGTTTCTATTTCTGATTACAATCACTTCAGGTTTTTCATCTCAAAAAGACATTGAACGGGCTTGCTGTAGAGTTGCAGAGCAATGAGATGTTAAGAAAAAGTACTTAGTAAGGCTAGAAAACTGCATCAATCAGGTGATGACAACAGGAAGTTTCTGAGCAGTGGTACTTCAACAAATGTGTAGCCCTGTAGTTAGGGAATCACTTCTTGATACTTTAAAAAAAAAAAACAACTCCATATCTTTCACATGGACTTTTCTTTACATGCTGTTTAAACTTATGATATACCGTTTCCAACAGTTTTAATTCAGGAAAGGAAAGTGATGGCTGCTTACGAAGCCTCAGAACTTAATTCTGCTTTCACGTTGTGCTTATGAAAGCAAACTTCCCTTGCTTTCTGTGTGTGTTAACCTGAGAGACAGACAATTTCTGAAATGAAATTTCATGTTTGGATTCTACACTATATTTAAGGAAAATTAAATTATGATGAGAAAATAGGATGATTTTCATCCTAGGATCTTTGGAAATGTTTTCTTAAGTTTTCTAATTTCTTCCAATTCCATGTATTTTTTCATATACTTCCTATACTTTTCATACTTTTTTGTGTACTTCACTTTCATATATCATTTCCAAAGGAAATAAGAACTTTATTAAAATGTCTTTTTAGATTTTCCAGTTGATGCTTTGAGGAAACTTGTTCTTAGTGATTAATGCTTTTTTTCTTTCTTAGTTTGAAGGATGGAAAATTGCATTTACAGTAATAGCACCATTTTGTGAAGAACAGCCTTCTTGATTCAAGCAAATGTCCAAATGTTTGGTTTTATTTTTAAAAAGCCCAAAAAAGGGGCTCTGAATTTATATCACATTATACCTATGAATCTGCAACTCAAAGTATACTAGTGCTTTTCAGGGTGTCATCCTTTCCAAGTTGACTCTCTTTAACATGGCGTGAATCTACATTTCTACCCATGCTCTGACACCCTGTTTCATGTTCCCGTGTGCTTGCAACATCCTTGCTTCTATACAGGAGGTCAGGTTATTTTTCTTATAACCCACACACAGAAGGTCCTCTGCTGTCAGCTCTCATTGCTGCCCACCAAGATCGTTGGAGATTTTAACTCATAGTATGTCGCCTTTATGTGAGGGAAGCAGGTCACACTGTGGGAAAGAAGGGCTTACACAGGGAGTGAGTAGCAAAGGCAGTGTGGCTGCATCCCTAATATTCCAGGGAAAAGCACATCTGGGGCCGTACTGCTCCTCAGTGGAAAGAGGGTGTACAGAGGTAGACTCTCCATTCAAGAGGAGTCTGTAATAAAGCAGAAGACAACAGGAGAAGCCAGGCATAGAAAGAACAGTGATCCACAGTGTGGTCTAAAACCCCACATAAACTCATTTTATTCCAAACACATCGACATATGCCGTACAGGTTTCTTTGTCAAGTGGAAGTCCTACTCAACAGGAATATTTACAGTCAAAGTCAAATTTAGAGAGTAGAGAACATATGCGCTCCGTATGCCAGTCCTTCTATATTCTCCTATGCACCTCTGTACCTCTTTCCCATTCCCATTTCTTGTCTCTTCTAACGACGTGTTTGCTGGAGGTATAAAGACTAGATAATTAAATTATATTTGAAATTCAGTTGTGTAATGAATATCCTGCAGTCTCGTTTGGGCTTCCTTGCTGCAGAGAAGTACAGGCAACTTTTACCAATAGCGTGAAATAAGCAGGGGTTTGGTCATTGTTCTCCCAGAGCAGCTGCCATAAGCTAACAATGACTTTTAGGTACTGTGCTGCTTCTGATTATTCTTTGCAGTTGCTGCAGGGCTAAATCTTTGTTTATCTTCTGTCATAAAATATGAGTCACAAAGATTCTCTGATTTTCATTCCCCTGGATGATCAATAATGACTTATCCTGTCAAACATGCTGACCCAGCAAATTTGAAACACTTAGTTACAATTTTTAAGTGAGAAAACTGCTATACAGTAGAAGCTTTCATACATCAAAGGATACATGTTCTAAATTAGAGCCCACTATTTTGTAAGACATTAAGAACAGCAATGTTTAACTCAGTAGAGTCCTGAGAATAGGCTTTTTGATATCAAGGGATAAGGTTCAAGTATTAATATTCCATGTAATATTACTATTTATTTCTGCTGTTGGGCCACTTTTTGCAAGTACTAACATTAGCGATGAGGAGGAATATAAAAATGGCTACTCTTTAAACTCCTAGAAGATCAGCATGAACAAAAGCAAAATGGTTTCTTCAAGTGGACTCAGGAACAGAGAAATGGTTTTGTTTTGTTTTCTTACCTGGTCCTGTGCAGCATCAATAAGGTCACTTGAAACTGTTGGGATATTCGAGCTAAAATCAAAAACACTGACAACACAAATGCTCCGAGTTTCATAAAATGAACTATGAGTTGAATTCTGCTAAATCACTGACAGGAAGGGGTCATCGGTTCACCCAGAAGTGTTGGTCTCCCTCAAATCCAGACTGACAGTGTGGTTCTCGTTTTTGTTTGGAAATCCCACAGAGCTGATAGTTTGAATGACCTTCTGTCTGCAATATGTGGGAAATGAAATAAAAACTTCAGAGTTGAGGGACCCCAACATGATCAACGTGTTTTTCTAGAACAGTGTTTCCCAGTTTGTCTCTGAGGGTTTCAGCAATTTCTGCCCTTCAAACCTGTCCAAAACAACCTGCAGTGATTTGTTATCTAACTCTTATTTGTTTAACCGTTGGCTGAAGTTGCAATGTTCCCTCATGTCTGTTTTTCTACTTTATTTTTTCTTTTTGAATTTCAGACTTATCAACGAGTCTTTGAGGGACCAGTTGCTAGTTACCATACAGAAGACTTTCACATACACCCGAACCCAGGCACAGCACCTCTTCATTATCCTTATGGAGTGCATGAAGAAGAAGGAGCTGGTATGTTCACACTTTCCTTAGAGACAAAGGGCGAGCTCAATGCATTGTTTTGATCAAGGCTTTCAGGTGCCTGTTGAAGGATTTCACAAATCTGATCACTGTGATCCAGAATCTAAAAGGATATTATATCAAGCTGACTTTTGTTTGGTTTAATCTGTATTTTCTCATTTAAAGTGATTAATTCAACAGATCTGTTGTCTTTGTAAATTCCTCTACATTTCCTTTGACAGGAAAAAGTACGGCTAGTAGAGTATGGATATTATTACTTTTCAGTCATCCTCAGGTATATCATGATTGAAATTCTACCTCATTCAACTTGAGAAAACTGCAGAGGGAAGCATAATTGTTTATCTGTCACTGGGATCATATTTTAAAGATGCTGTAGAGTTGCACAGGTATTTTATTATGGAGATATGTGACAGGGAAAGAAAACAGCTTGTCTCCAAGGCTCCTATTCTGCAGTGGCAAGGCTATCCCTTTAACACATACTTATACTTTCTTGAAGAACACAAGATCTTTCAAGAAATTCTGAAAGCTCCATGAGGCTGCTTTTGCAGAAGCATTTCTGAAGCCAAATCACATTGCAAAAAAACTTGGGATTCAATTCCAGGGGTTCTTATTTCTTAAAAACTGACAGAATAGACATGCTTCAATTTTGTAACTTAATCTTTCTTCTAAGCTTTGTTTTTGTTTCATATCGCAGCTTCCTGGAATTCCAGGCTGATGACAGCCTGCAACACTTCGTGTAGAGTAACACTCATGAGGAAAGATTGACTCGGTTGTTTTACAGAAGTTTCATTTTCTGAAACTGAGGTTTTTGTGACTTCATCCTCTGCTGTGCCTTTTAATTTTAGTTGAAAATATGGCATAGAGTAATTAATACCACTGGAGGGAAATGGGGAAAAACAGTTAGAAAGTATTAAAAAAACAGGCTGCCCTCCTAGACAGAGTGTTCCAAAATGGAAGGTATTTGTTTATATGGTTTAGCTTGCCAAAAGTATCAGTAATCAGTAGTTCATGCAGCCATCAAAAAGTAGTCAGCCTTCCTCATGCATAACTAATCATTTAGTTGTACCATAGTCACCTGGCATGTACCCTGGACAATGGCAGAGAGGAGAGGATCCCAAGGACAAGTTTTCAGGGAAGGCATGACAGCAGCATGCAGTTCCACTGTGCCATTGCAATGTAGATGGTTGATGGAACTGGACATGCAGCAGTCCCTGCTGCCGCCTTCCTCCCACAATCTGAATTAAAACCGTATAGCAGACTTTAAACACCCTTTAGCTATACACAAGCAGTCAGTGCATCCCATAAGGTATAGACTAGTCATCCCTTCCCTAAGTGAACTACATCAAGACAGAGTTCTTTTTTCTTTCTTTTCCTTTTTTTTCCCCTCCATAATCTCCTTTGCTTTAAAGACTCTCAGAAAAATATGACTGTGCTACAGAAATACTTTTCCTACCCATTTATGATTATCAAGATGTACAATGACCTGCATGGCACTTGAGTTTACTTTACATGTATAGTGTATATGTACCTCAGTCTACCTTAATGTTGAATTTGATGTAGCATTTCTTATCAATGATTAGCAGAGAGAACCTTCTTAGGAAAACAGCATTAATTCTTTTATGCCCATTTCTGTTACGGTAATAATAATAATAATAAGAAGAAGAAGAAGAATAAGAAGAAGAAGAAGAAGAAGTACTAAAATATACTGCTTGTGAACCAGTGTTCTGCATGCAAACATAAAAAACATAGTTAATGACAGAAGATGGAAAAAAAGAATGAGGGAGGGAGGGGGAGAGAGAAAGGGAGAGCAGAAGGGAGGGAGCAAGAGAGGCAGGAAGGTACAAAGAAACAAAGACTAGAAAGTAGAGGCAGATACTGAATTATCCAGACTGGAAAAATGCAATTCTGTATTGTTCCAGACATCTAAATCCAGAACTCGTTGTCAGGCTTTGAACAAACTCTGCTACTGCAAATTTAACTGTGACATTTTTGTCTGCAGTATTCACATCAAGATTTTTATTCCAAGCAAGGTCGTGCATTTGTAACCTCTGTCATCACTGACATTCTTTACCTACCCATCTTGTGAAGAGCTATTAGCCAGGAGGTGGTTTGCCCAAAATTAAGTGTTCCGAATTTTAATTTATACCACTAACCCAACCATATGTAAAGAAAATACATTAAACCAAGTGTTTCTCTCTGGTACCTCAGTTGTACTCAGAGCACTAATTTTAACAATGGTATGCTAGAAAGATTTTATGTCTGAGTTGTGGTTGCTAGGTTAATGGTGTCTTTTAAGACTCATAACCGCCTATATAAGTGTAAAGGAAAGATGATACTCATAATGGTGAAGATAGCATTACCAAAGGAGATAGATGTCCCTGGAAATGTGAAGTATTCCCGGGAGTGAGTGGTGACTTCACTGGTTCTTCAGAGCCAGGTGTTTCATATTTCCACATCTGTCCCAGCTCTTGTCCTTCCTCAGGCTTGACGTTCTGATTTGGGTGTGCTGTCATGGTTTAACCCGGCTGGCAACTAAGCACCACACAGCCACTCGCTCACTCCCCCCTCCCTCAGTGGGATGGGGGAGAGAATTGGGAAGGAAAAAAAAAAGTTAGAGCCGTGGGCTGAGATAAAGACAGTTTAATAAGACAAAATAATAATAATAGTAATAATGAGAATGGTAACAGAATATACAGAATATACAAAACAAACGATGCACAATGCAATTGCTCACCACCTGCCGACCGATGCCCAGCCCATCCCGAGCTGCGATCACTCCCCGAGCAGCAATCAGTCCCCGAGCAGTGATCACTCTCCCCGCAACCGGCCAACCAACTAACTCCCCCCGAGCATGACGTTATATGGTATGGAATAGCTCTTTGGTCAGTTTGGGTTAGCTGTCCTAGCTGTGTTCCCTCCCAGCTTGTTATGCACCTGGCCGAGCAGGAGAAGCTCAAAAAGTCCTTGGGTAGTCTGAGCACTACTTGGCAACAGCTGAAAACATCAGGGTGTTATCAACATTCTTGTAGTACTAAATCCAAAACACAGCACTATGCTAGCTACTATGAAGAAAATTAACTCTATCCCAGCCAAAACCAGGATAGTGTGTAAGACAAAACACTGCTTGGTGAACTGACTTCACAAGTCTGATCTCCCCTCTCTCTGTAGAAACAAACAGAAAGAATCATAGAATCATAGAATGTTTTGGGTTGGAAGGGACCCCTAGAGGTCATCTAGTCCAACCCCCCTGCAGGAGCAGGGACACTGCTAACTAGATCAGGTTACTCAGAGCCCTGTCCAACCTGACCTTGAAAGTTTCCAGGGATGGGGCCTCCACTACATCTCTGGGCAACCTGTTCCAGGGTTTCACCACCCTCATTGCAAAGAATTTCTTCCTTACATCTAGTCTAAACCTACTCTGGTTTAGTTTAAAACCATTACCCCTTGTCTTGTCACTGCTGGCCCTACTAAAAAGATTTTCCCCATCTTTCCTATAGGCTCCCTTTAAGTACT